GCAGGCAGAACCCACGGAGGTATCGGACGGTGCACATGTCTTGTTCACCCTGCACGCAGGCAGAACCCACGGAGGTATCGGACGGTGCACATGTCATGTTCACCCTGCACGCAGGCAGAACCCATGGAGGTATCGGACGGTGCACATGTCTTGTTCACCCTGCACGCAGGCAGAACCCACAGAGGTATCGAACAGTGCACATGTCATGTTCACCCTGCATGCAGGCAGAACCCACGGAGGTATCGGACGGTGCACATGTCTTGTTCACCACCATCACCATCTGACTTCATACAGATCTTATAAAATCTGAAATGTTTCTATTTGTGCAAAAATAGATTCAAATAGTCACTGATTGAAAAGAGTTTCCTGAAATCAAAAGGCCTCTGGGAGGGCTGAGGGAATCGCTGTTCCCTGGTGCTCTGTAACACATGGAAGGTAAGACCGTGACCGCTGCCAGCACAGGGCCAAGCTCTCTTCAGGGTGGTCCCTGAACCTTGACCCAGGTACCCCAGGAGGTGTGTTTAAAGGAGGATCACATTCAGTTCTGGACAGAAGTGGGGTCATACCAAGTGAGGCTGTCTGTGATTTCTCTCTACTGGGCCAGGGTTTGCCAAAGAGGGATGGTCTGGGATGTGGTTAGAAAAAAATGGAACTTTTAAAACTTTATCTGCAAAGTGAAATACAACATGAATTGTTAACTTTGCATTGTCATGACTATCCCAGCTTTTACATTTGAATGTCTAATATGTGACCTTGGTATTAGTAATTACTCTATGGAATTGTCAGCATTTGTGCAAACAGCAGCCCATGTGACGCTCAGCGGAGGACTTTGAGATTCCCTAAAAGCAGTGTTGAGTGCACAGTCAGCACCTGTGGCTGCAGAGACTCGGGGTTAATTCCCCTCCGCTACAAGTCACACCCCTAAAGCGTCCTTCTCAGTTCAGCAGCAGGACGAAACAGGCTGTTTCCAGACGTCACCCTATGAGAAGAGCTCTGGTGTCTCAGCTGCATTCTGAAATTTTCTTCAGTTAGGGAGAGTCAAAACATGAAGTTAGCACGTAAGATAGAATTGGAAATTGTACATTTGACATGCATAATTTTTGTTTTGTTTTGTTTTGTTTTTTGAGACACAGTCTCACTTTATCACCCTCAGTAGAGTGCTGTGGAGTCACAACTCAGAGTAACCTCCAACTCCTGGGCTTAGGTGATTCTCTTGCCTCAGCCTCCTAGGTAGCTGGGACTACAGGCAGCCCCCACAACGCCCAGATATTTTTGTTGTTGTTGTTGCAGTTTGGCCGGGGCTGGGTTTGAACCCGCCACCCTCAGCGCCTACCCACTAATTTTTAAAAACTAGTTTTCCTCTTACTGTTAAGGAGAAAGCATGTGTGGGAGAAAGCATGTTGTCTTAATTTTAGCAGCCCAGGGCATCAGGAGCGAGTAGGGAGCTGTACACACAGCTGGGGTTAATATCAGTTATGCCCCTGCACTTGCCAATATGTGGGAATTAGCTTTCAAAAACCTGCAAAGCCAACACCAGCAGTCCCTTCAAACAAAGAATTTAATTGCTATTACATATAAATTTGACACATATAGTAGTTTTATGAAGTTGAGTGATGAAAACTATCCCTCCTCCTCCTAGAAGCATTTCCTCTTCCATATAATATTCAGAGATGGAGTAACGGGCAAGAACCATCAAAGAAAGGTTTGATCACACTATGGTTTGAGTTTCCCTTATCTCAAATGCTTAGGACCAGAAGTGTTTCAGATTTTGTATGTTTGGGGGGGATTTTAGAACATTTTCTAGGCAAAGTGAGCATCCCTAACCCAAAAGTCTGAAATGCAAAGTGCTCCGCTGAGTGGAGTGTCATGTTGGTGCTTAAAAAGCTTCCTATAAAGGGTTCTCAGTCTGTGTTACATTCTCATGAGCTATCAAGTCTGGTTAGCTGTATTTGGGCAAAGAGGGAAAAAATAACGTTCAAAGTAAAAAATAAATGTTTGTTTTTCTTAAAGTGTCTATACACATATTTAAAAATCCAGCTCAAGTAACATTTTATATCTGGAGAAAATGTACATTTTTATGGACAGGTTTATAAGATTTAGCATATGGAGAATTACTTGTCAAATCATTGGTTTAATAATGTAAGAAACTTAGTCTAAGTTTTAAAAGGAAATGTTTTTCATATAATTCATCACATACATCACCACTTTGTCCCAAGAAACCAAACTATCAGTAGGTACCAGAGTCAGAACTGTGTCACCACTGGGTCTTCCTTCCTTCCCCACCTCCTTCCCTTCTGCCATAAAATAAGTGACAGCTGAGGTCATTCTTCCCTAGATGGCAAAGTAACTGAAAGGTTCGAGCCTTCCCAGCTAACAGAGGCAGCTGTATAACCGATGAACTCGGAGCCTCTTTCATTTCCTCAACTACAAATGCCTATAAATTTTAAAAACATATTCCAATTATTTAAAAATATTTTCTTTTAAGCAAAGTGTAAAGGCTTTTGGATTTGAGAAACTATCTAATATAGAAAGTTGTTAAAATTCCCTTTTGAAATCCCTTGGTAGAGAGTCATAAATACATATAGAAATCTGGACCTGTTTTATATAACCTTAGCAAATCATTTTATTTACTGTTTTAGTGAAAGTGTGACTCAGGATTTGTGCCCCTCAGACCACCACCTGCTTGAACCAACCTGGTAAGCCAGCTGGATGACCCTGGAGCAGACATTTAAATTTAGTTTAACATTGGACGTTTCTTATTGGAAGTTTTAATTTTTAACTTAATTTCTATCTGAAATGTTGTATTGTAAAGGTTGAAAATGATACCATGATAAAGAATGGCTTTTATATCTATTAACATAATAAAATATTTTTTACAGTCACTTTAGTTGGTCACACATGCAAACACACAAAAAAATTTACTTCATCAAAACCTAAGTAGAAAATTTTAAATATTCATTTACTTTCTAATTTAATGCCAAAGTAGGCAGTTAATCAGTCATCTCTGTATAAACAAAATACTCCATATACACACTGATTTCTCTGATTTCTTGCACTGAATACTGAAAACTATGTCCTTGACGTTTTGTTCTAGAATGGACTCCTCATTGATTCTACTTCCTGGTATTATACAACGGCAAAATGATCTCAGACATATTCAGTCCAACCTTTTTCCAGATATCATTGCAAAAAATAACCCAAAGAGGTAAAGCCAAAAATCACAAATGCAATTATTTCCAGGATACTACAGGCAGTGCCAAGGAATGAACCTAAAATTTATTACTCAGACACATGATGAAACAGGGAGCAGTCAAGCAGGGCTCATCTGCCGCCCCACACAGGACACTGGCGGTGCCGGAAGACATTCTCATTTTCAGAACCATGACAGAGTGCTGCTCAACATTCTAAAATGCACAGGACAGTCCCCTCCCTACCAAACAAAGATCATCCAAGCTCATGTGTGGAAGCTGCTGCTGTGGGGAACCCCGCTGTTAACAGTGGGTTTTGTCAGACACAATAATTTAGCTGTATAGATTAGTTATGAGCCCCTTAAGAGCACACTGGAAGTTTGAAAATTTGCTCAAATTTCACCCTACAAAACCCCTTTGAGACATCAGAATGAGCAGATGAATGAATCTAAAATACCAGCAGCAGCTGGGCTTAGTAAACGGAACATTCCTAGGGAGATTTAGTACTGGCCAGGGTAACATCCTCTTTTTCTTTTTATAATGCAGAAGCCTTTCTCAACAGCCCCTTGCTCATCATGAGAAGAGAACGTCACAAATTAAAACGCTGTATGCTGCGCTAAGTAAATACAAAGTGTTTCAGAATTGTTTTCTTTTTATTGCTTATAATTTCAAAAACAAGTTTTATATCTTTTTCTAAAGTGTTTATTCAGAAAATTCTTTTTGAAATACAAAAAGAATACAAAGAGTGTGAAGGGCACTCGCTGATCCTTTAAAGAGCAGTTTCTGTCATGTGAGATTTGGACACTGGAGGACCCTCTCTTTTAAGAACTGCCAATTAAGACCGTTTATTCATTTTCTTGGCTGTCCTGCTGTTGATCTGTAAGAGCTCTCTTAATGTATTCTTAAGTTCTTCTCAGCTACGTGTCTGTATACTGCAGACTCAGACTGTGTAAGCTGCATTTTCATTCTCTCAGTGGTGTTTTTCTGATCAACAAAAAACTAGTTCCCAACTAATGATGTCTGAAGTCTTCTTTAGGGTTAGTGCTTTTGG